CCAGGATCATGGGAAATTCAAAAATGTGTGTGCATCACGCGCCGTCCTTACAACAAACGTGAGCGTGGAAGACCCAATGTAACCATTAACCCAATGTACTTATCCGCACGAGCTCGATCAAAAGTTCTAGCCCCGCAACGGTTACATGCCACTAACACCATCAGCGCGAACTTGGATGGGTTTCGAAGGTTGGCACGCCCTCCCGCTAAACCTGAAACTGAACCTTTAAAAGAAAAGTCGTGTCCATTTCCCACCAACACGCCGACCACGTGAACAACAAAAGCCCTAAATGCCCAGTATGCGGCTTGTACACCCTGGAAGCCCCAAACGAACTTTCAAGAACAAGGTGCCGAGAGTCTGCGCGCGCGGCTCCAGTCGCACGGCCTCTCCAGTTTTGGCTTTTGGTTGAACATAACATCCCCCTCCCACCTCCCCTCCCACTTGTATGTCAACCAACTAGCTCCCGATTCGCTTCCACCACACCAAGGAGCTTCGCCGCTGCTGCCGGAACCAGCCATTATCCATGCATTGGTTGTTTCGCTTGTCACATGCTCTAAATTGCGCCGGTGGTTGTGGTAGGTTGTGGTGGAGGTTGGCTCGAAGAAGGGCAGCAATGAAGGCCATTTACATTGTCATGGCCGACGACATGGTGTTTATACTCATGGACATGCGGATGGATCGGGCCACCAAGCTTTTGGAGCCCGTGGTGCACAACTTGTGTTTCCAGACAACATGTCTGTACACCTCTCGATCATGAGCATGGTTGCTTACCCTGCACCTCCTGCAACCGCGACTACTGTCCTTAGGCTCCGCGCCGCCCTCAGAAGTAGGTGTTCTGCCGGCCGAATGCTGGCTTCCCGCCCCTGCGAACATTGGCGACGTCGATGCCGACATCCCATTCCTCAGCGATGTCTTCCTCCCTCCTTTCGCCGGCCGCATGCCATGATAGGGCCACCGCCCAGGGCTCTTCCCTCCCGGTGCCGCCTGTGGAGCTCAAACCGTGCTGGAATTTGGAAAAGGATGCCAGTTTTTGAAGCATTCGAAATAATTATACAAGCATTGTTGGGAGCTTTCAAGGCTCCTAGAAGAACACGGTCGCAAACACAAAATATTTAAAGTACTTTCGCGTCGACACTCGCATCTTGAAAAAACCAAGGAACGGTGGCAGCACAACCTGACAATCTTACATTTGCATCCCGTCAAGTAGGCCTACCCAACGGCATATCGTGTCACAGAACAGTGAGACCCGTGCCTCGAAGGCTCTTCGGTTGGAATTGCGTGTGCAGCTGCATCTCGTCCGGGGAAGGTAGTAGGCTCGACCATGTCTGGGAAAAAACCCTGCGCACGAAGGGCGCGTGTGACCGCCTGCACACCACTCTAAATTCCGTCCTCGGGGCCGACGGCTGTGCGGGACCTGGCCTAGCTGCAGCGGCCGGTGCAAGCAGGCCAGCACAGAAAGCTCGCTCAGCCGCAAACGGCAACAGGGCGACCAGCGGAACACGTATGCACCGGGCCCAAAAAAATAACAAAAAAGGGCCCTGGCTGCAGCAGGCGCGGCCCATGCCCTGCGGCGAGCGAGCTGGCAAATGAACCCTGCGGCCCCAGGGCTCCAGCGGCCTGCGACCTCGAGCCAAGGACTGTCAGGCGGGAGCAGGCTGATCGGCAGAGCTCGGCGCGGCTGTCAGGGGGGAGACATATATGGTTGCATTGTGTCTCGCTTAACGCTGCCGTATCGCTGATTGCGACAGCGGTGTATTAGACATGTCAATTGGTACGTTCAATGATGCGTACGTTGCATCAGCCCAGTCCGCGTCGCGCGGAGAAGGTTGAAGTTCCTGTAACACGTGTCGCGTAACTGTGCCATTTCCGACACGGCTTGTGCTGTTGCACCTGGAATCGTGCGGCTACACAGGCTGTGGGCGCCCGGGCCCTGCCGGCCTTACGCAACGCGGCGGCAGCGGCGTGGGCTCGACGGTGGTGGACGCGCTTGTCCGTCGCGGTGCAGCGAGCCATGGCGCTGTCGGCAGCAGGGCGAGCTTGGCCGGCAGCGACGAGGGCGGCGACACAACAACCGCCGCTGGAGCTCGCGGATGCCGCGGAGCCTTAAAGGCCTCTTCGCCGAGCCAACAATGAACCCAGCATAGGCAGGTGCTAAAAGGCGCGCGCCAAAAAAAAAACAAAAACATGTGAATGATGTCCAAGTGAACAATATACGTATAATGAGCGCGAGTGAGACCTGCAGGCCGATAGGCAGCCCCTTTAAGGCGCAGGCAAACAGTCAAAATAACAAGTGCCAGTGGAACACTCGCTGAAAATATGCTTGCATGTATGTACATAAAATTACACAGACACACACACACATATATATATATATATATAGTATACAGATACACATGTATGTATGTATGTATGTGTGTCTGTGTGTCTGTGTGTCTGCGTGTATGTGTATGTGTGTATGTGTATGTGTATATCTGTGTAGGTGCATATCTGTGTGTGCTGTGTGTGTGTGTGCATGTGCATGTGCATGTGCATGTGCATGCGCATGCGCATGCGCGTGCGCATGCGCACGTGCATGTGCGCGTGCATGTGCGCGTGCATGTGTGCGTACGCGGGTGCGCATGCACATGCCTGTGCATATGTGTGTGTGTGTGTGTGTGTGTGTGTGTGTGTGTGTGTGTGTGTGTGTGGGTGCGTGCGTGTGTGGGCGTGTGTGGGCGTGTGTGGGTGTGTGGGTGCGTGTGTGTGTCTTTTTGTCTGCGTGTCTGTCTCTCTCTGAATCTGTGTGTCTGTCTCTGTGTGTGGGTGTGTGTATGCGTGCGTGTGCGTGTGGTTGCGTGCGTGCACGTGAGCATGCGCATGCGTGGGTCTGAAGCAAAGGAGATTGACACACAAAAACGTTTTGCACTCTCACACACACCCACGCGTCGTGGCGTGAAACACCAAAAACGTAGCACGCACACGCACGCACGCACGCACACATGGCACGCCCACCCGCCCGCGGGCAAGCCCGCATCGTGGCGTGCGGCGGCATGAACAAACACTATCTGTGCGCATTTCGAAATATTTTGCGGTCTGGCGCTTCAGTTCTGCCTTGTATAGCATCTTCCGAGACACACACATGTGTATTCTCAAACGTATGTCATGTCTGCGCACACAATCTTCGCAGTGGGCGTATGCTGTTGGCACTGATGCACATATACAAAAACAAACAGTATAGAGTATAGACACAGAGAAGGAGAAAGCGACAGAGAAAGAGAAAGATAGAGATAGAGAAAGAGAAAGAGAAAGAGAACGAAACACACACACACACACACACGCACGCACGCACGCACGCACGCACGCACACACGCACGCACGCACGCACGCACGCACACACGCACACACACACACACACACACTCACACAATCACACAATCACACAATCACACAATCACACAATCACACAATCACACAATCACACAATCACACAATCACACAATCACACAATCACACAATCACACAATCACACAATCACACAATCACACAATCACACAATCACACAATCACACAATCACACAACACACACACACACACACACACCACACAACACACAATCACACAATCACACAACACACAATCACACAATCACACAATCACACAATCACACAATCACACAATCACACAATCACACAATCACACAATCACACAATCACACAATCACACAATCACACAATCACACAATCACACACACACACACACACACACACACACACACACACACACACACACACACACACACACACACACACACACACACACACACACACACACACACACACGCACAGCTTTCTGACGCACATCCCTTGGAGCACAACCGCTTGGACACGCATGCGTCAGTGTCAATTCGGAGACGCATGTCCGCGTGCGCAACGTCGCAAAATCGACACGCGCACACACACACACACACATTCTGCACAAACATGTCCGTGCACTTGCCGTTTTGCAACAAGACGCCGGCGTGTTTGCGCTCTCCGCATTGTCACACGTGTCCGTACGTGACCAAACGCAAGGGCAAATACATTGAAGGGCTTGGCAACTCATCCATGTGTGCCGTTGACTGAGTTTAAGAAGGACTGATGGAAAAGACCCCAAGCAGGGCTTAGTGTGCCGAGAGGTTGGCTGGCTTTGAAGCTACCACTGGTTTCTGGGTGTTGCCTTGACGTTCATTTTCCTGCTTTGCTGAGTTCTCGGCGGCGCCATGCCAGAGATCGCTGCTGCCCTTTCTACGAAAAACACCCGCAAGAACGCGATGCAACACTTGAAGCAAGCGTGAACCCTCGCACTCTCGTCTTGCCTGAGCCGGTCCGTCATCGTTGTGTCGCGGGCGACCGCAAGCGCGTTGGGCCGAAGCTGTCACGTTAACCGGGAAGTGCTTTGGCGAAATGAGGAGTGTCTGACGCCCGTCCAACAGCCAACAGCTGTAGTCTCCCATCGACGTAGGACAAGATGCCCGACCAGACGAAAGCTTGCACCGCACACGGGGGCCTTTTTGCTCGGGCGGCTGAAGCCCCTGGTGCAAGGGATCATGACAAGGAGGGTTTGGGGTTTGGGGTTTAGGGTTCCTCCTTCTGGGGGGGACCCTCGTCGCACCACGTGCAGGCAAGAGGTGGAGCAATAAGCGAAGGCGAAAGTCGTGCCAGCGGCGTCGCGCGGGCCATCGCGCCGAAGCGTCTGCAGTCATCGTAAATCACACACACTCTGCAAGTCGTGGCCATGGCGCGCCTTCCCACAATCGGAGACGTCCGCGCCCGCGAAAATTGGAGCCTAATTATTGCGTCCTTAAAAAGGTTCTAGGAACCAAAGTACTAGGTCCCTGGAAGCATAGGGCTACATCCCTAAACCCTGAAGTCTAAACCCCCAGCCCTAAACCTTAAATCCCAAGTAAGAAGGCTTGTCATCCCCCAAAGGCTCGGACAGCAAAAGGTGCACTTCCCTTCTTTTCTCCTCGCGCACAAGGGGGGTCAGCTTGCCAGCGGCGTGGTGGCCTCGTTCCTGGGCGGCTGTTGGGGTTGTTCTGTTAAAAAGGGCAGGGCACGCTAAACCCCAAACCCTAAACCCCAAACCCCAAACCCTAAACCCTAAACCCTAAACCCCAAACCCCAAACCCCAAACCCTAAACCCTAAACCCTAAACCCGAACCCCAAACCCTAAACCCTACATCGTCAGTGAAGCCCAGCAGACCGCAACCCCGTAAGCTGGAGCCCAAGCCCATAGACCCATAGACCCACACACAGCCGTAATGGAACTTTTTGTGTGCATAAGTACAATAGTTTAGGGTTTAGGGTTTAGGGTTTAGGGTTTAGGGTTCGGGTTTCCATAACTCGCAGGGAGCGCCGTGAGGGGTTTGGGATTGGGTTGCAAGGTGTTTAGAAGCCTCATCACCTACCCTCAACTTCAGCAGGACTGTCAGGGACCCGCAACAGACAGACTCTGTGCACAGGGTTCTTGAAGATAATCCTCATCGGCGTCCCTCAAATTCAGAGACCCTAAGCCCCATGACTGTTCAGCCAGCAACACATACATCCCTATAGGGAGAGCCTCTTGTTTGAAGACGCCTGAAGGCCGGCTCATAGGTTTCAAAACTTGGGTTGTAGATTCATGAATAACTACAAATGCAGTAAGAGCCCGCTTAAAGTGCCCCTGGCACCAGATCCTTGAAGAAGAGGAGGGATGTTAAAACTGTGCTCTCTAGAACAGCGGCCCTTCACAGAACAGATCTACGAAGTATTCTGCGAATAGCACAGACCCAACCCTGAACCCTGAACCCTGAACCCTGAACCCTGAACCCTGAACCCTGAACCCTAAACCCTAAACCCTAAACCCTAAACCCTAAACCCTAAACCCTAAACCCTAAACCCTAAACCTAAACCCTAAACCTAAACCCTAAACCCAAAACCCCTACCAACTACCAAGGGCTGCAGAACAGCAACTCTATCTGGGGATCTCCAGTAGCTCAGAGACGAAAGCTTTCTGAGAAGGCGAAGACCCAAGCCCTCAACCCTAAATCGTTTCTACCTCTAAACGCTGCTGTTGCCACAAAAACTCGCCAGAACCCAAATGGGGGTCTCCGAACTTAGGGGTACCTTATTGGGGTCCTCATCATAAAGGAATCCTACAATTTAGGGAGTCTATCTAAGGGGTCCCCAATTTTCGTAAACCCCCTAAACCCTAAACCCCAAACCCTAAACCCTATACCCTACAAACCCTATAAACCCTATAAACCCTATAAACCCTATAAACCCTATAAACCCTATAAACCCTATAAACCCTATAAACCCTACAAACCCTACAAACCCTAGAAACCCTATAAACCCTAGAAACCCTAGAAACCCTATAAACCCCATAAACCCGATAAACCCTATAAACCCTATAAACCCTATAAACCCTATAAACCCTATAAACCCTAAACCCTAAACCCTGAACCCTAAACCCTAAACCCTATGAACCCTATAAACCCTACAAACCCTATAAACCCTAGAAACCCTATAAACCCTAGAAACCCTAGAAACCCTATAAACCCCATAAACCCTATAAACCCTACAAACCCTATAAACCCTATAAGCCCTATAAACCCTATAAACCCTATAAACCCTTTAAACCCTAAACCCTGAACCCTAAACCCTGAACCCTAAACCATAAACCCTATAATCCCTATAAACCCTAAACCCTATAACCCCTACAAACCCTATAAACCCTATAAACCCTATAAACCCTATACACCCTATAAACCCTATAAACCCTATAAACCCTATAAACCCTATAAACCCTATAAACCCTAAACCCTAAACCCTGAACCCTAAACCCTAAACCCTATAATCCCTATAAACCCTAAACCCTATAAACCCTAAACCCTGAACTTCCTAAATATAAACAAACAGGCAAGGAGGGATAAACGGGAGCAGAGGGTCTCTGACGAGGCAGCATGGGCTGCCAAGGCCAGATCGGTCCTGTCGCAGAAAAGCAAGGGCGGCTCCGAAGGATTTAGGGTTTAGGGTTTAGGGTTTAGGGTTTAGGGTTTAGGGTTTAGGGCTTAAGGTGTAGGATTCTATAGAGTTGATAGGGGTTAGGAGAGTTGTCTTAGGGTTTAAGATTCTGGGGCTTGAAGAGCTTAGGAGGGGTAAGGGTTTAGGATTGAGGATTGAGAGTCTGGGATTCAGGGCAGGGTTTAGAGAGTTTCGTCTGTCACTCAGCCACTCATTAACACGATCTTGCTGCGGGCCCCGGCTTTAACCTCCCCAAACCCTCAACCCGAACCCTTCAACCCTAAGAAGCTGAGATACCCGCCCAAACCCTGAGATGTAAATACCGTGCAAAGCCTAAAACCCTGGTCTTGGATTATCGCAGCCATGGCCCTCTCCAGAAACAGGGGCCAGTCCTCCGGCCCTATAAAACCCCGAGCCCTACACCGCGCTGGCCGCCTTAGAAGGGGGATGACGTAGAGGAGGAAGAGCAAGCCATAGCCGAGGCCGATTCCGAGGTATACCTGCGCAGCTGTCGCGGGGTGAGCAAGAGAGGGAGGGGTTTCCGGGAGTCTTAGGGGCATGCTTGGGGTTCTGCATCTCTATAAGTCTGTAAGGAACCCTAAACCCGAAACCCTAAACCCTAAGCCCGGCAGTTTGCTGCTGAGCCGATGTGTGTTGATGACGCCGCTGTGACGCTGACCTAGCAAGCAACAAAGGAAAGCACAAGTCCCCCAAAGCATGGTTTAGGGTTTAGGGTTTAGGGTTTTAGGGTTTAGGGTTTAGGGTTTAGGGTTTAGGGTTTAGGGTTTAGGGTTTAGGGTTTAGGGTTTAGGGTTTAGGGTTTAGGGTTTAGGGTTTAGGGTTTAGGGTTTAGGGTTTAGGGTTTAGGGTTTAGGGGTGTCCACATCCAAGCCTCCAGCATCCCTGCTCTCAACACGCTTGAGGCCCTTGCAATGATGCCTGGACTGGATGCCCAAAGAGCCCAGTATACCCCTTAATTAGGGAATATTCCTTACTTTAGACCCTAAACCCTAAACCCTAAACCTTAAAACCCTAAAACCCTACACCCTAAACCCTAAACCCTAAACCCTAAACCCTAAAACCCTACACCCTAAACGCTCTCGAAGACAAAGCCCGAGATGCATTCTGCAGCGTTCGCCCTGAGAAGTAGAACAGCAGCAGGACTGCAGGCACCTGACCTTCGCGGGAGGGTTTAGGGTTTGGGGTTTGGGGTTTAGGGCTAGGTTTAGGGTTTAGGGTTTAGGGTTTAGGGTTTGGGGTTTGGGGTTTAGGGTTTAGGGCTAGGGTTTAGGGTTTAGGGTTTGCGGTGTAGGGTTTAGGGCTTAGGGTCTTGAGGCCAGTTTGCGCAAGTGACGAGTCTGACAAGAACAGATGAAAGGTATGTAGATGACATGCACGTATAAGTATGTATGTATTAAAAAAACCCTAACGCGAAACCCTACACCAGTTCTATCCTACACCCTAAACCCTGTACCCTGAACGGCGCGGGGCGGGGGGGGGGGGGGGCTTGAGCAATGGGCTGTAGGGCCCATAGGGTTCAGGGTTTAGGGTTTAGGGTTTAGGGAACGTATATCGGAATTTAGGGTTTAGGGTTCAGGGTTCAGGGTTTCGGGTCTTTGGGCTCGGGTCCGGCATCACTGGCTAACCCCTACACCCGAACACCCTGAACCCTAAACCCGAGACCCTAAAACCCAATATCCCTAAAACCACAAAACCCTAAAACCTTAAAACCCTAAAGAAACTCTAAAACCCCGAATGCCCTACAACCCTAAAACCCCAAAACAAACCCGTAACACTTAAATCCCATAAATGGGAGGCCTCCCCAGGAGCCAATGAGCGCCGCCCGGAACACGGTGTCTGTCCTGATCTGAACTGCTCGGATGGCCCAAGAGGCCCCCAAAAGACCCGTACCCTCAAGGAGATACTTACACCAGAGGCCCTTAAAACGATGGAACCCAGATCACACAAAAGAGGCCCTGAAGATAAAAAGGGCTTTTGCATTTTGGGGGGTTTCCCCAGCTACCGGATCCTCAACCCTCCCCAAAGCACACGCCCGAGAAAGAACCCACATGCCACATGTACAAGAAGGGGCCGATTTAGTTAGAATGGGAGATGAGGGTTTAGGTTTTATAAGGTTTGGGGGCATGCGTCTAAGTCGAAGTTGATATTTTCAAAAGCTGATCACAGAACCATAACACCCCCATAATACGGTTGAGGGAGGGCTGGCTTACTGCTCCAAAAACCCCGGAATATCCTTCCAAAGAAGGAAGCCCAACAAGTTTGAAGCTCAGTTGCTGGATAAGCGGGTGCCATATGATTTCTGCAGCTCCGTCAACTCTGGCATCGCTGTATTTCGACACCCTAAAAACCTTTCTCCGTACCCCCCCCCCCCCTCCAAACCCCTAATTTTAAACCACTGTAGAGTCTAGGCCCCAACACTTTAAGGCTCCGTTGTACCCCATGTGCTGAGCCCCCCAGAACTACGAGACCCAAGAGAAACCCAGACATAAACAGGGTGTCCTTTTTGGCTTAAAGGGGCTGATAAGGGAACCTTGACCCTAAAAAAAGGATAAAAAAAGGGCCTACTCCGGGCCCTAGATTACCTTCTGATGTCGGAGCCCTCATAGTCAGAGTAGGGTTTTGGGGGTTCTTATAGACTGCAATTATAAAGGGGTTATAAGGGGAATTATTAGTAATTATTCCGACCCCTATACTAAACACTCTTGGCTGGGCTCTCTGCAACTTAATTGCTGAGTTCATAAGCCCCAAAGCAGTGTACACTTTCAGTTCTATAGGGGGTTCGAGTAGCCCTAAACCCTGAACCCTAAACCCTAAACCCTTTGTCCCATTCAGCTACGAAGGAAAACAGAGCCCGGCGGCTTCTTCAAGGCCATGAGGAGGCTCTCGAAGTGAACGGAGAAACCTCAGGCTTCAGGGCTGCAGGTCCGGGGGGAGGGGGGGGAAAGGTTTAGGGTTTAGGGTTTAAGGTTTAAGGTTTAGGGCTTGGGGCTTAGGGTTTATGGTATAGGATTGCAGTGGTTTAGGGAGGTGCTTAAGACTTAGGGTCGGTTGCTGTACCTTTTTGTTGTTTTTTTGTTTTATGGGGTTTGTCGACGGGTTCCCTCCGATTCGGCACCTCCCTTGTGGCCACCCGGCCTGCCTACTGAGCTGCTGACGTAGTAGAGAAGCGCCATGAAAAAAACTTGTTGCAACCCGGGAGCACATGAAGAAGATCATCAACCCCATCCTGAGCTGTTGTCAAAAAGTTAAGATATCATCATATGAAGCAGGGTTTATAGTACTGTTTCTGGTGAGTGTATATAAGGTTCCTTTTTATATTGGTGAGTGTATACCTTGGGTGTCCTTTTGGGGATGCAAGAAATACATACCCTGCTTCATATGCATAGGATGCCACGCCTCGTGAACCAAGAGTACTATAGGGCCACTAACCCTAAATCCTAAACCCTAAACCCTAAACTCTAAACCCCAAACCCTGAAGGCCTCAGGAGGTCGCTAACAGCGTCCCAGCATCTCCAGCCGACATTCTTCGAAGAGGTCGATCACCACTGGGTCATTGCCTCGGCAGCGGGCTGTTGCTGGCTGGTTCTTAGCAGGGAATGAGGGAGGGTTTAGGGTTTAGGGTTTAGGGTTTAGGGTTTAGGGTTTAGGGTTTAGGGTTTAGGGTTTAGGGTTTAGGGTTTAGGGTTTAGGGTTTAGGGTTTAGGGTTTAGGGTTTAGGGTTTAGGGTTTAGGGTTTAGGGTTTATAAAGGTTTAAGGTTTAGGGTTTAGGGTTTAGGGTTTACTTATACACCTAAGGCCCCAATTCCCTCATTCCCTACTAATAACCAGGGCTGTTGGGCCTGGGGGTAGTTGCAGGTTCAGGGTCTGAAAGGGTTTGGGGTGTTAGGGTCTTAGGGTTTCAGGGTGCTAGGGTCTTAGGGTTTTAGGGTTTTGGGGGTTTTGGCTGAGCTTTAAAGGGCGCGCCTTATGCCCGGGGCCCAACAGGAGCCCTTCTCGCCTGCGCGAATCCTACGGACGGCATGTCAGTGACGGGGTGCTAAAGATCGACGCCAGGGGCCTCACAAAGACCAAAGTGGCCTTAGCTGAGTTCATACATGCCCCAAAAAGTGCACACTTTCAGTTCTATATATGGTATTCTGGTATCCCAAAAAAGGGTGCAACAGTGTGCTCACTCAGCTGCTAAGGCGCAGCCGTGGTGGCCAAGAGAAAGGCGGCGACGCTGCCGATGCCCAGGTCCCTGATCTTGGTGGACAGCCGGCCATCCCCTGTTCCAAGGGCGATGCCCAACCTGAGCTGACCGGCTTGTCACAGTACCTATATATTCTTAATATCTTAAATCAATGAAAAAGTTATTTAATCTCTATGTATTTGATAAAACATAGATAAGACATATATGCAAGGAACCCTAAACCTAAGATTCAAAAAAACCTAAACCCTAAACCCTAAACCCCAAACCCTAAACCCTAAACCCTCAACCCTAAACCGAAAAGAACAGGAACAAACACATGTGGCCAGGAGCTGTGTCACGCAGGCGCTGCTGAAGGCTCCAATGATCCTTTGGGCCCACGCATATTTTCTCTTGGCATGTTTCTTTTTGGGGAGGGCTAGGGTTTAGGGTTTCGGATTTAGGGTTTAGGGTTTAGGGCTTAGGGCTTAGGGTGTTTGGTGTTTAGGGTTTAGGGTTCAAAAAGGGCTGAGTCAGTGTGGTTTCTGTTTGGGTTCGGGCGCTGGATTGGGCTGTTCCAGTGGGCCGATTGGGATTTGAGCTCAGGCTTTCTATATACTCTGACCTCTTGGCTGCACTTAGCAGGGTAGCTAAAAATGAAATTTTTAGCTGCCTTGTTAAGAAACCCAATAACACCAAAAAGGCTGAGGATCTAAAGTTACAGTAAAGCACCACAGAGGACTTGCCACGCCACGTCAAAGCCGAACCAGACCTGAACTACTACAGGGGCCTGACTCATAAGAATGGGGTTTTACTTGAAGGTTCATGGTACTTATTAACCAATTATACCTCTACTTATAACTGTACTTATAAGTCCCTTAAGTGCCCTAATATAGTTATAATTTGGGTTATAAGTACAGTTATAATTGGTTACTTAAAGTAGGGGAGATTAGAGTATCATGATCAAGGGACCATACGGGAATACCATTAGTAGTAGCTATTTCCGACCCCTACATTACCAACTACCCAGGGGTCGTCAAGTTCATCCAGGCAAGGCGGTAGCTCGCGTTGAAGACGCCCACCTGGACACGGCGGATTCATGCGCGCGCGCGCGCGCGCCTCTCAACATAGTTGCGCTGCTTGCTGCCTGCGTGCGGGCGTGTCTCTTTGTCTGTGTGTCTGAATGTGTGTCTGTATGTGGGAGGTGTGCCCAGCATGTTGGAATCTAAGACACAATAGCCGCCTTCCCCACAAGAGAACGATGCTCGAGTTGGGCGGGACCTAAGCAAGCCGTAACTCAAACCCACAGCCTCAAGATATTTTTTCCTGATTTCGGTTTGGGGGGGGGTTGCAAAGCCTGTAACTCCTCACATTGCCACCCTAAACAGGCCTCAGCCGACTACCTCCACAGTAGCCCAACAAACCCTGTCTGAAACCCCGCGCGCAGAAGTCTCTGAACCCTATGCATCGAACCCTAAACCCTAAACCGCCTCTAAACCCCTTAGCCCCTAAAGCCCTAGACCTGAGCCCTACCCGATAAAACCCTAAACCCGTAAACTCAAAACCTTGAACCCTAAACCCTAAACCCCTAAACCCCCAAACCCGCTAAGCCCCTAAAACCCTAAACCCCTCAACCACCCTAAACCCCTAAGCCCTGAACCCTCAACCCCAAACCCCTAAATCCCCTCTTTTTGGGTTCCCTTTCTTTTCAAAGCCCGGCAGTTCGCCTCAGCATCGCCCAGGGTGCCGGCAAGGAGACCTCGTCCAGAACACCCGAACCCTCCTCCTCCCTAGGTTTAGGGTTTGGGGTGTAGGGTTTAGGGTTTGGGGTTAAGGGTTTGGGGTTTGGGGTTTGGGGTTTAGGGTTTAGGGCCCCGCCCAGCAACAAATCGCCTCTGGTATGTTCTAACAATGTGTCGATCCATACATACATACATACATACATACATACATACATACATACATACATACATACATACATACATACATACATACATTACATGCGCATATGCATCTATACATATCCACATAAGTGTGTATGTGCGTCAACGCATAATATACATTTCACAATTTTCACCAGCAATGCATACTAGACATTCTGAGCCATATCTTCTCTACATGTACGTACAAGTATGTGTGTATATATATATATATATATATATTTGTATGTATCGCCATATTGATACCGCTCTACAGAGGAAGAAAGAGAGATTCTGAAGCTCGGCGGATAAACTGGCACAAAGCTCGCGTGGCAAACCCGGTGCAAGCAAAGCACCCAAAACCCAAAACCCTAAACCTGAAATCCAACTCTACACCAGAAGCTCTCAGACGGGCTTCCGATGGCAGACATTCGCCAGAAATCGGATGCCAACGCCAAGGTGGCAGGAATGACGAGTCGCACAAAGTTCCACAATCTTGGGAAGCGAGGAAGGTCTTCACAGGCTCATTTACAACTTTTTTTCGGTTTAGGGTTTAGGGTTTGGGGCTCAGCGTTTGGGGAGCTGAGGACCTCGGGTTTAGGATGCTAGGACTTTTAACTGGTTTGTTTCGGAATATTGCCATGTGTGTATACATGTTGTTAGAATTTTTTCCGGGGGGGGGGGGGGGGGGTTACGGGGATTTCTTGGGCTTTAGGGCTGCTGGAGCTCCAGTTTTTTTTGGTTGTGTGTATGTGTGTGTGTGCTTGTTTTTTTTTTTTTTTGGGGGGGGGGTTGGGGTGGGAGGGGGGCTGAACCCTGAGGTGGGGTGAGATTGGGGTCTTACGGCAACCCCAAACCCTAAACCCTCAACCCTCAACCCTTAACCCTAAACCCTCAACATCCGAAAAACAGTCCGACCCACTACAGGCCCAGCCTTGGGTGGATGTTCTCATCGTAGTACCTCACTTGTCCGAAGATTCGTTTTAGGGCCGCTAGAGGTTGGGGTTTAGGGTTTAGCGTTTAGCGTTTAAGGTTAAGGGTTAGGGTTCGGGGTTTAAGGTTTAGAGTGCAGGTTGCCCTGCAAAAGTGGGCAGCAGGGGATACGGGCCCCAAAAGAAGCGAGTAAGGGTGCTACTGGCATCCGAGTGCGCGTTCTTTCAGACTTCCGCGGGAGCTGCAAAAATCAACCCTAAACCATGTCGGTGAGGCAACCCTTCTCCGTCACAAAGAAGAAAAACCGGTTGCTTCCTATTGTCGGGACCCGTAGTAGGAAACCTCCATGATAGTGGAACGCGTTCCGAAATCATCGGCAGAAGGACCGGCGACACGGAAACACAGTTTCCTGTGCTGAGAAACATCGGCCATACTGACCCTTCATGAACGTCCTGCAGATTTTTACCTTTCGCTATCCTGGACAAGCACCCGAATTGCGGAAACCCTTCCTCCTAAATCCTGAACGCACAAAACATGGACATTGATTGGGCGTTGCGCTCCACTCTAGCGTCCCCCATCCCTTTAAACCCTAAACCCTCAATGGCCTGAAATCCTACCCGAACCCTCAACCCTATCAACCCTACAACCCTACCCCTGAGCCCCAACCCCCTGAACCCCATATCAACCCTATGTAAACCCTGGTTTTAAACGCTATATATCACCCGGTCCTATATAAAACCCATATCAACCCTATGTAAACCCTATATGCCCTATAAACCCTCCAAACGCTGAACGAAGGCCCAAAACCTTTCGCAAGGTTGCGGGAAACGGCTCCCCGTCCCGTCAGTCAGGAGGGGTGCCACGAAGACATCACGGAGGTAGTTCCACCTGCGGTTTAGGGTTTAGGGTTTAGGGTTTAGGGTTTAGGGTTTAGGGTTTAGGGTTTAGGGGGAGGCTCTGGGCTTTAGGGCCTTCAGGGCTTGGTTGTTATCGTGTTTTGTGGAGGGGGGGAAATGCTTTGGGGGAGTTGCTAAGGTGTTCAGTTCCTCCAGGGCTTAGGGTTTCAGGTTGAGGTGTTTGTGGAGGGTTTAGGGTTCTCAGATAGGAGGGGGGGGGGGGGGGGTGCACAGTTTTGGGCGGGCCATCGTATTCTGGCGTATATTCAGCCTATACCAGTTTTTGGTGGAAATACAGGCTTTTAGGGCTTTGAGAGACCTATATAGCTTTGGGCCTCTAGGCTTTAAGACGACGCAACAAAAAACCCTCAGCCATTTAGCAACCCCCTAAATACCCCAGAAATACATCAGGGTTGAGGTGTGCCCCTTTTTCGGATTGCCGAACATGAGGATTAGAGTATTCCGGCGGGTGTAGTCAGAGGTAGCCCTATTCTGGGAAATGCCCCCCCAAACCCTAAACCCTAAAACCTAAACCCTAAACCCTAAACCCTAAACCCATTCGGACTTTGCGAAGGAAGCTGCTCGTGCAGCTTGGCGCCGTAGCACTTCTCATGGTATCCAAAGTATCCACAGTAGACTACCTGAGTCTGGCATTCACTTTAACCCCAAATCAACCCTAGCCCGTAACACCGAAAAAAGAATCTTTATAGTTTTAGGTTTCGCGTTCGCGTCTCATTCTCCCCCCGAGAGCAAAATTCCCTTAACCCCCAGTTGCAAGGTACCAGCAGCATCAGAGTCACGAACCACTCGACGGTGGTTGTTACAATCGGGCACGCCCAGAAGCCGAACTGGACGCCCGCAAAGGGGATGCCAAGAACGAGCCTTACTTGGGTGGGTTTGGGGGCCCCAAAACAATTAGTATTTTATAGCTTTATCAGGATTGCAGGGGATTAAGGGTAATGAACACTAAAAAAATATGTTCAAGCCTGCTCCTGCTGGTTCTAAGTAGAGGATATACCCTTCTGAACTTGATATGTGCTATCGGCTGCTATCGGATACTTAATGATGCGTGTACTCTTCTTCGCTTCTGATGCTTGTGAGTATCCTATGGTTGCTAATTATCGATCTGGGGTTATCATTGTATATATTTATATGTATGTATGTATTTCTATATATTTTGATTGCATTTTGTATATATTGTGTATATATATATATATATACATATCTAGGCCGAGGCCTCTTCGATACCTCTCACGGCTGCCCCGAGCTCAACCTCCGCCCTTTAGCTTTCAAGGCCCAAGAAGCCCGCCAAAAAAAAAAGGAACCTGGCAGTCCAAATGAAACTTCAAGATGCTGACCTGCCCCTCGCGCAAGAAGAGAATCCTTCAGGCTCCTAAACCCCTAAACCCTATATCCCTAAACCCCTAAACCCTAAATCCCCAAGCCCCCTAAGCCCCCTAAGCCCCCTAAGCCCCTAAACCCCTAAACCCCTAGACCCCTAGACCCCTAGACCCCTAAACCCTAAACCCTAAACCCCCTAAGCCCCCAAACCCCTGAACCTTAAATCGCACCCAGGCAGCTGCAAGCCTAAGGCCAAGTTCAAGAAGAGGGCGACGGGCGTCGTCTTGGAGCTCGGGCCTGTGATCCTGGGCTCCAGCAGCGGCATGGGGCTTGGGGTTTGGGGTTTAGGGTTTAGGGGGTTTGGGGTTTGGGAGTTGAGGGTTTAGGGTTTAGGGTTTGGGGTTTAGGGTTTAGGGTGTTTGGGGTTTAGGGGGTTCGGGTTGCAGGGTTTAGGGTATTTTGGGTTCAGGGTTCAGGGGTGGGGTTTTAGGGCTTTGTGTTTGGGGTTTAATAGGGTTAGGGGGTTGGGGTGTAGGGGTTGAGGGTTTAGGGGTTTAGGGTTAAGCGTTGCGGGGTTTACGGGTTTAGGGGTTTAAGGGTTGCAGGGGTTAGGGTTTTAGGGTATTTAGAGTATTTAGGGTTTAGCAACGGACTTCAGGTTGAGGCTTGAGAGGGAGAAATGGGGTATCCTGTCTTAGAGGGAGCACGGGAGCACCCCTAAACCCTAAACCCCAAAAAAAACCTAAACCCCAAACCCTTAAAGACCCTAAACCCTGAACCCTGAACCCTAACCCTAAACCCTAAACCCTAAACCCTAAACCCTGAAACCCCATACAGGACTTCCCAGGATCTTCTGGGAGTTGAAGAAGGTGGTGAGCCTCGAGGACAGCATTGTTGCAGGAAGGCAGCAGGCCATGACCTTGCCAGCGGTTTCGGGCGGTTTAGGGTTTAGGGTTTAGGGTTTAGGGTTTAGGGTTTAGGGTTTAGGGTTTAGGGTTTAGGGTTTAGGGTTTAGGGTTTAGGGTTTAGGGGGAACCCCGGGCCCTCTAAGTTGAGGGTTAAAAAGGCAAGAACGGGATCCTAAATTGCTTATCGAACCACCCCTAAACCCTCAACCCTAAACCCCTAAACCCTAAACCCTAAACCCTAAACCCTAAACCCTAAACCCTGAACCATCCCCAAACCCTTCCAAAGGAGGCGCCTTCGCGTAGTAGCCTGCGGCGTTTGCGACCTCCGCATCCGCGCCGAATCCGTGCCGAAGGACGGGAGCAGTCATCCACCAGAGGAGGACCACGGGGATCAAGACCCAGGAAAACCTCTGGGTTGAACAAGTTGAAGGGTTTTGAAGGGTTCAGGGGTTCAGGGTTCAGGGTTTAGGGTTGTAATTAGGGTTGTAGGGTACATTGTAGGGTTGTAGGGTTGTAGGGTTGTAGGGTTGTAGGGTTGTAGGGTTGTAGGGTTGTAGGGTTGAAGGGCTAAAGTGTTCAGGGGTTCATAGGTTTCGAGGCTAAAGGGCTGAAGGTTTAAGTTTTAAGGGTTGAAGGGTTTGAGGTTTAAGGGTTGAAGGGTATCAGGGTTGCCTGGAAACCGATTCGCTGAGGTCAAACAGCTCTAAGGAAGAACAAGTGAAACTGATTGAAGCTCAACAATTGGCTGAGTATTGCTCAGCCCGCAAGCCCCTATACCCCAAACTACCGATGGCTTAAGAACCCTCCCACAAAAAAATCAAGAGAATAATCCCTAGATCACCCTCATAAGCAAGAAGCGTATCTTTAGGGTGGTTCTTAAACAAATAGTAGTAAACTTCAAAGCAATGTACCCTGAATGCCCCGAAACCCCTAACCAACCTGCGACCCAAGAGACAGGGTAAAGGAGATCTGCAGCCAGGTGCCAACCTGATCTGAGCACCCTAAACCCTAAAACCCAAAACCCCAAAACCATAAACTCTAAACCTTAAACCCTAAACCCCTAACCCTAAACCCTAAAAACCCCAAAACCCTAAACTCTGAACCTTAAACCCTCAAACCCTTGAACCCTAAACCCTATAGACCCTAAAACCCTAAAACGCCAAAACCCTAAAACCCTAAACCCTAAACCCTAAATCCTAAACCCTAAACCCTAAACCCCAACAAGGAAAACTCCAGGCTGTACGGAGCTTTGAGGATCCAAGGGTTTTTTTGAACGGTTTCTATCGGGGGGTTTAGGGCCAAAGTTCGGATCGAAGGCTTAGGGTTTAGGGTTTAGGGTTTAGAGTTTAGGGTTTAGGGTGTATTTTGTTTTAGGGCCTGGGGGCGCCTAAATTTTGGGCTGCAAGTTTGCTGGTTTAGGGTTGAGGGCAGAGGGGCAGCGCGACATAGGTCTACGTAAGGGTGCATGAGGGGAAGCTACACAGTTTGGGTTGAGGTTTAGCGACAGCTCAAGTTTTCCATAAGGGTGTGGTGAGGGTACCTGAAGCCGCTGGGGTCATAGAGGCAGCTGCTTCTTAAGCCCCTGGTGCTCCAACACCCTAGAGAACTCTGTAAACCCTGCGACCCAAAAAACCCTAAACCATTCTACCTACCTAGAAACACTCATGGTTCTCACAGGGGCCCCCAACCTTCGACCCAGGTTCAGGCAGCCAGCCATACTTTTTGGTTTCCTTACTGAACTCGTACTCCTTTTCGGCCCTGAGGTCAGCCCACCCCGACTAAACCCTAAGCCTTGAAGCCTAAACCCCTACGTAGACCCTAACCCTAAACCCCAAACCCTAAACCCTCCCACCCCCTAAACCCTAAACCCTAACCCTAAACCCCCACCCTCACCCCCCTCCCCCCTCCCCCCTTTGCAGAGGATGCGGCGAGGTCGTAGTTGCGTGCGCCGAAGGCCTTCCGGCTTCTACGGCTTCGGGCTCGTGATCTTGCCTGAACCCTATAAGCCCCTAGTTCAGAGTAGGGAATGAGGGAATGAGGGCCCTACATATTCCCTCATTCCCTCATTCCCTACTAAGAAGCCAGATAAGCCCTACTACTATTTGCTTAAGAACCCCTGAAAAAACACTCTTCCTTACTAAGGGTAATATAGGGATTATGTTTTATTTATATTCTTTTGGGATTCTTATGCAAATAGTAGCCTATAAACCCATTAAGCCCTATATGCCCTATAAGCCCTTTAAGCCCTTTAAACCCTATCCGCCCTATCAGCCCTAAAACCCTATGAACCCTACAAGCCCTCTATAAACCCTATGAACCCAATAAGCCCTAAGACCCCAAGCGGGGCTTCCACGGATCTCACGGAGGGCTGAGGCACGAAGAGTTTAGGGTTTAGGGTTTAGGGTTTAGGGTTTAGGGTTTAGGGCGGGCCTGGCCACACAGCGATCCCAAGAGAGCGTCGTTCACCTTGGCTTGGGCTGCTCTTTCGGGGTTTAGGGCTTAGGGGGGTTCGGGGGGTTTAGGGTCTCGTGGTTTGGGGTTTAGGGCTATTTAGGGGTTTCGAGGTTTAGGGTTTAGGGGTTTGGGGTTTAGGGCTTAGGGGGTTCGGGGTTTCGGGTTCAGGGCCGTTAGGGGTTTCGGGGGTTGCAGGGTTTCGGTGAACGGTTGGGTAATTAGGGGTCAGGAGGTTCAGGGGTTTCGGGTGTACGTGCCGAGGGACCCTAAACCTGAAACCCTAAACCCTGAATAAACCCTAAACCCTAGACCCTAAACCCGCAACACTAAACCCCAAATAAAACCTAAACCCTAAACCCTAAACCGAGGGTTTTGGCTTTAAGTCTTGCGAGGTTTAGGTGCATCTTGCGCTGTCAGGGTTTAGGGTTTAGGGTTTGGGGTTCAGGGTTCAGGAATTAGGGGTTAGGTCCATGCCAGCGAAAGCCTCCTCCGTGTCCAGCCCTGATGCACGAAAAGATGTTTACCGCGCCCTTCGGGTCGCATGTGAGGATGGAGTGCGCCTAGGTCTTTTTAAGGGTCTGACTTAGGGCCTTGGATGCTTCTGGGGCTTGTGTGGCTGGGGCTCAAGGTTGTTTTTTGCAATCGTAAGTCGGGAGGTGGAGCTACCCTCAAACATTCAATCCTAAACTGGCCTTTACTAAACTCTAAACCCCAAACCATACCACTGAGCTCTCAAGAAGTCTGTGGCGAAACTTTGAGACCCCTAGCGACCGCATCTTAAACGTCCACAGGGCTCGGGGTTCTACATATTTAGGGCTTACAGGGTTTAGGGTTTAGGGTTCACGGTTAAGGGTTACGCGTAGGGTTTTTAGGGGTTTAGGGTAAAGAAAGGTTTACAGGGGCCCCCTCTGCAGTGCGGCGCGGTGCGCGAAGACTCCGCTCATGGAGGTCCAGAAGTCCGACAAGGAAGAAGCCTTCAGACACAACTGCGCGTGGCAGCCTACAAACTTACACACTTGCGCCTTTGAACCCTCTGAAAGAAAACACATGTGTGTAAAAGTAGACTTGCACCCTAGAAAAAAAGCTGCCCTCAAACCCTAAACCCTAAACCCTAAACCCTAAACCCTAAACCCTAAACCCTAAACCCTAAACCCTAAACCCTAAACCCTAAACCCTAAACCCTAAACCCTAAACCCTAAACCACAGAAGCCCCAGTTCTAGGAGGCCGCCGGCTTCTGGGCCATCTGCAGCCACGAGTTAGTGGTACTCGCAGCGGCCGTCGTGCGAAAGAAAAACACGTCCTCTTCTTACTTCTCCAAAATTGCGCAAAAGGGGGAGGTCTCCCAGGAAACCCTATAAACTCAAACCCCCGAAAGCTATAGGGTTTAGGGTTTAGGGTTTGGGGTTTGGGGTTTAGGGTTTAGGGTTTAGGGTTTAGGGTTTAATGCAACTCCCTTTTTAGAGAAAGCAACTCCGTTGAGAATGAACTTCGTCTCCAGGCAGCTGTGAGGTAGAGGGTCCCGGAGTGGCCCAGAAGCGCCTGGGGGGCAACACTTTCTTAGGAGCAGTCCAAAACCCCTTGAAGGTTTAGGGTTTAGGGTTTAGGGTTTAGGGTTTAGGGTTTAGGGTTTAGGGTTTAGGGTTTAGGGTTTAGGGTTTAGGGTTTTAGGGTTTAGGGTTTAGGGTTGAGGGTTCAGGGTTCAATTGAGGGATATACCCTAATTCATAATAAGGATCCTTGGTATAAATTCAGGTATACTCCTTGGTCAAGGGGTTTGGAAGTTCTGGGTCCCTGAAGACCCAGGCAACTCCTCAATCCGAACTCAAAAAAGAACCGGATTCATAACAGCGGGCAAAAACCCTCACAGTAACAGGTCTACCAACCATGCTCTTAAGTTCTGTGTAGGAGTGGGAGGGTCATCTGCTTGGGCTTCCGGATATGGGGGCTTCTGGTTTCCAGGCTCTCTGCGCTGTTTGCACACGCTTGTCGGACTGATGGGCTTTTAGGCGTTTAAGGGCGTTTGCGGTGTTGCAGCGTTGGATGACTGGCCATCACTACTCCTTTCGGTGCGCTGTTTGGCTTGGGGCTCAAGACAGATGGCTGAGTTCTCTAAATGATGGTCCCTTTTCGGGTACACAAGAGGCGCCGCCTTACAATGAGGACATCAAAAGGACCATGGTTTGGAGAAGTGATCATCTAGGAAGGACCGCAAAACCTTCGGAAAATATTCCTGAATATCGGCCTCTTCAACTCAACAAGGGAAAATATAGCATGTCCCAAATGCCTATCCAGCAATATAAGAACCAGAATCTTGCTCTTCGGATCAGCCAAGAGGCAGTGTCGGTCGTCTTCATGCCAATCCAGGACAGGCGCGCCACAAAGGTTGGCACGAAGAGGAAGAACATGGAAGCATAGATCCTAAGGCAAGCAGACCCCTAAACCCTAAACCCCCCAATTAAACCCCATCTCTAAACCCTAAGCTGATCTTCCAAGCGCTTTTGAACCCCAGGCCTGGCGTGCTGCCAAGGAAACTACAAGTACCTGAAGAAGGAAGCCCTATTCCTTCCTAAGCAACCATCTTGTGGTAATGGTCGCGAGCCATCCTGCTATTCGGCCTTCTAATCCCCATAATCAACCCTATAAAAGGTTTACAGGGTAGAATAGCCCGCCCTGCAAGCCGGCGTACCCCGATGTATACCCTGAGACCCAAAAAATACCTGTCTCGAACCGGACGTTGGGGATTGGGATATCCCTGCCCTGGTCTGGGGGGGGGGGGGGGGGTGGGGGGGGGGGGGGTGGGGGGGGGGGGGGGTGGGAGGGGGTTCCAACCTACGAATGTAAACCCTAAGCCTATGCCAACCTTCCGACCCCGTCGCATCTGACAAACATGAACTGGTGTAGGTATGGAGGCCCTTTTAAAAAAGTTTGCTTTTTGGCTTCATAAGGATTGTATATAGGGGACTAAGGGCAATAGCAGCTAAACAATAAGTTCAAACCTTGATGAAGTGGAGCGTCTGCTGCAGGCTGGAATCACCGGTGATGTCGTTGAGGACTGACCTCGGCACGCGCAGGGGCTCACCTCATGACCGTTCGACATGTCCCTCGCTTCTTAGCAAAACACCACATGGGTGGTTGTCGAAATTCGGGGTACCCTACGTATTCGGTGCCGTATTCGAAAAGGATCCAAACAGGGACCCTAACTTTGACAGCCACCCACATGGCCAAAAACAGGAGTCAAGTTCTCTTGGCTCCTCCGGCCCAGGTATGAACCTAGTTGCTGAGTGCCCTGGGCCAAAAAAAGTTAACATTTTCAACTATGGTAGGATTATAAACATACCCCAGAAGGTGAAAGGTTAAGGTTACCCTTATCAGCTACTAACGAAACCCCGAGCCCTAAACCCCTAGACCCTAAACACCCTAACCGTCAGCTCCAGTATCTTCTTTGATTCCGGGGGAGGTTTGGGGGGGGGGGGTGAACCGCTGAACCCCCCCCCCCCCCCCCCCTAACCCCTAACCCTCAACCCTGAAAGCCCCCAAAAACTCTCAAGCTGAAAGCCCTATACTATCACTCCAAACCCTAAGCCCTGTGAACCCTGAATCCGGCACCTCACGTTTGACAAACCCATATCACCACCCCCCCCCCCCCCCCCCCCCAAAAAAAAAAAAAATAAAAACTCTCAGGGCCGTAAGCTTGCCCCAAAATCCTCTGATCTGGTGCCAAAGCCCTATAACTCCCAGAAACCCGACAATAGAGGCCTGACAATCTTACCTATAAGCCCTTCTAGATTAATGGATTAAGAAGCCCAAGCCCCTTTATGAGCCCTAGACCCTAACTCCTAACCCCTAACCCCAAACCCCTAAACCCTAAACCTCTATGAGCCCTAGACTTGCCGCTGAAACACATATGGGGATTTTCCTACATTAGGGTCCTTTTTTGGGGATACCTTTTTTAAAGGGTGCTGCCTAGAAAAAGCCCTATAAAAGCCCTTGAAGTTCTGAAAGACGAGCTCCGAAGGCTCCCCCGACTGCCTAACCCTAGACCCTAAACCCTAAATCCCAAACCCCAAACCCCAAACCCAAACTCTAAGCCCTAAACCATCAACCCTAAACGCTCAACCCTCAACCCCTCACAGGGGGCGCCTGGTCCGCGCCAGCTTCGGGTTGAGCTGCCCAATCTTGGGCGGCGCCACCTGGACGGGAAGGATTCTCTGGGGGGGGGGGGCCTTTTTGATAGGGTTTAGGGTTTAGGGTTTCGGGTTTAGGGTGTAGGGTTTAGGGGTTCGGGTTTAGGGCTTAGGGCTTAGGGCTTAGGGTTTAGGGTCTTGGGGCCCTTAATAATTAGAAAAGGGTTTTCGACTTAGTAACTATTCCGACCCTTACATTATTGGGGGAAGGTTGTAGGGGATTCAGGGGTTCTAGGGTTAGAGGTTAGGCTTTTGGGTTTCTGCGTTCGAGGGGCTAGGGTTCTAGGGTTAAGCCCTGTGAACCCTAAACCTTTTGGGGGGTGTTTTTTTTGAGGGGTGGGGGGTCGGCTGCTGCGTTTTGCAGTGTTTCTGGGGTATATATATATATATATAGTACTCTATGTACATATATATAAATATCTATATATATATATATATATATACACTTCCATTGGGCTTATAGGGAGGCTTTTTACGGTTGACGGGGTTTATCTTCGGGTTTGGCTGCAACAGGGTTGAGGGCTGTGTGCGGCTGTTGAGTCTAGGGCTTGGTTGCTGGCAAACTGTATGGTCTGGTTTGTGGGGAAGGCGTATGGATTCCTTGCAACCCGCCTGGTTACAACCACCCGAGGCAACAAAACATAACTCCTGAATGCGAACTTTCGGACGGGATCAAGCAGCCCCAAAATGCAGGTTGAAAAACAACATAACACCGCGCAAAACACATGCGAAAAAATGGTCCGAACCCTCAGCCCGACTCTCAAGACCGTAACAAGAACTCTAGGCCATACAACAGGACAGATCCGACTTCCGACCTGCGTCGGAGGCGGCATGGCTGCGTCAGCGACCCCAATTCCGGGGGATGCTAGTCCCTAAAACATGTATAAATCCAAGAGCCCAAAACCCTAAACCCTGCTGCAGTGCGACAGGTTGAGGCTGACAAGCAGCTGCGAGGCGGTTCTTTACCCTGCAGAGGACGTCACGGGAAAACGTGTGGGCAACCAAACGCCGACCCCTTGCAATGCAAGTCGGCACAGGCCAACAACCAAAACAGCATTCGCCACTGCACCATCGCGAGGGCATTCAGGCTCTGAACCTCGAAGCCCTCAACCCACAACCCCGTACTCCGCCTACACCCTGTAAAAATGCAAACCCCCGAAACACCCAAAAACCCCTAAGCCCTCGAACCGCCGCAAACCCTAAACTGGGTTTCCTACATGCTCTAACCCCCCTGACCCTGACCTCGATGCGCTGATCCATCGCATTTTGTTATACTTGAGTGCGCGTTGATCAACCGATCCCGCGCTTCACTGGCACTTGGCGGTTGCAGCTGCATACGCCTGCTTGGAGGCACACACACAAGACTAGACCCAAGAGTTACCTGGGAATTAAACGGGTGCCCTTTTTGGTTTAGAAGCTTATAAGGAGAGAGGGAATAAGGGCCTACTCACGGTCCTGGAAGATCACACTTCAAACATCAGAAGCAGGCAAGCACAGCATGCAAAGCACACATGAGCCCAACGACAAAGTGCATGTTCACGACCCAGGCACGTGACAGGAACAACCGCAGAAAACAACTGCAATGAACAGCCTCACCTTTTATCAAGAGAAAACTACTCAGTGTGATAAATGGAGCCGCAGGCTCAGCAGAGAACAAAACAAATAATAGCCATACTCATACTCATCTCGAGTCTACATAAGAAGATGAAGACAATCAAAATCCACCGAAGAACATCCCCAAGACCAAGAAGCCTTGTAGAACATATACACATATACATAAATATGCACAAAACGCTGTATGCAGAAACATACACAACCTTGAAACTTCACATAAACACATAGTACCGCTACACATATACACACAACCTTTAACCGCAACACCTAAACCCCATAACCCCATAAACCTTAAACCCCTAAACCCCCAAACCCTAAACCCTAAACACCTACACCCTAAACCCTAAACCCTAAACCGTAAACCCTAAACCCTAAACCCTAAACCGTAAACCCTAAACCCTAAACCCTAAACCCTAAACCCTAAACCCCCCCCCCCCCGACAGAAAAGGCAGAAGCGCGGCCTCCTGGATGCGCTTCGTGGCCTGCTTGAGCCTGAGGGCGAGGGTCTGAACTCGAAGGTTTAGGGTTTAGGGTTTAGGGTTTAGGGGTTAGGGGTTAGGGTTTAGGGTTTAGGGTTTAGGGTTTAGGGTTTAGGGTTTAGGGTTTAGGGTTTAGGGGTTAGGGGTTAGGGGTTAGGGGTTAGGGTTTCGGGTTTCGGGTTTCGGGTTTAGGGTTTAGGGTCCCTACGGAGGATTTATTGGCGGGTTTCAGGGGTTACTTGGGATGTCGGGGATTGAGGAGTTTAGAAATAAACTGCCCCCTGCAAGCCCTGCGGAGGACCGTGCCCCAATGCCCTAAAGCCCTAACGCTCTCGAACGCTCTCAATGCCCCTAAGGCCCGCCAACCCCCAAAATCCCTACAAGTCTCTACAGCACCACCCTAAACCCTAAACCCTAAACCCTAAACCCTAAACCCTAAACCCTAAACCCTAAACCCTAAACCCTAAACCCTAAACCCTAAACCCTAAACCCCAAACCAAGGCTTGCCGAGGAACGCCGAGGTGTCGGGATCTGGCAGCTTCGCAGCGCGGAAGCCTTTAAGGGCCGGCTTAACGTGCTCAAGTCCATGAACCGATTGGGCAAAAATTACCCTATGTAAACCCTAAACCCAAAACCCAAAACCCAAAACCCTAAACCCTAAACCCTAAACCCCCCCCCCCAATGAAATGGTGGGTAATTGCGGGGTTCTAAGTCAGTTAAGGGTTTGTAAGGGCGTGTTCAGTTTAGTGCCTGGGACACTTTAATACATCCCAGGGGCTTACGAGGCGGGGCTGGTCTTCAAAACAGCCCGACGACTGAACCTAGACTCCGCTAAAGACATCCACAGTCTGAAGGAGCGCTCGTGGGGCTTGATCTAAGTTGCGACTTACGGGCGCACTGGATTTAGCGATTCCTGAGTTACCACCCTGAACGCCCTCAACCCTGAGCCCTTAACCCTATGCCCGGAATCTTAGACCCTAAACCAAACTGCAAGTGAACGTGCACAGGGGTCGGGTCTCGGGCCACCAGACTCGTCGACCGCGCCTTCAGGACCAAATGAACCCTAAGCTTGGGGCCATGTAGACTATACTACTATCCTCCCCACTCGGGTATAGGGTGTAGGGTCTAAACTCTATACACTAAGCCCTAAACCCTGAACCCTAAACCCTATAAACCCTATAAACCCTACAAACCCTCTAAACCCTAAACCCTGAACCCCATCCCTCTTTAGGGTTCAGAATTGGTCCTTAGGGCGAGAGACGGTGGAGAAGGAAGGCCATGCCGAAAATGGCGCTTTGGAGCTGCTTGAGTGTCTGCCTCGGAGAGTATCGGGGGCCTTAAGAAATAGAGTAGGGTTTAGGGTTTAGGATCTATATGGATATAGGGTTTAGGGTTTAGGGTTTCGGGGTTGGGTTTAGGGATATAGGTGTTTTGGGGCTTAGGGATATAGGGGTTTGGGGCTTAGGATATAGGGGTTGGGGGGTTATCATAGTATAGTTGTATGGGGACCATCAGGGGATGCTATTCGTAATTAGTCCGACCCCTCAAGCTATGCTGAGGCCTGAGGGAATTTCGGGCAGCTGTGGTCTGTGTTTGGCACACTCGGTACAGAAGAAACCCCAATTCCTAAACCCCTGACCCCTAACCCCTAAACCCTAAACCCTCAAGCACGAAACTTTCCTCGAAACCCTGAACAATTTCAATAAACCCTAAACCCTAAACCCTAAACCCTAAGTTTTGAGAAAAGGCCCGGCCAAAAGCCTCTCAACCCTGTCGAGCCCAACGCACTGATTCAATCCCAGGATCCCAACTGAGAATCTGATGAGGGCTTAGGGTTTAGGGCTGAGGGTTTAGGGTTTGGGGTTTAGGGTTTGGGGTTTAGGGTTTAGGGTTTAGGGTTTAGGGTTCAGGGTTTAGGGTTTCGGGCTAGGGTTTAGGGTTTAGGGTTTGGGGTTTAGGGCTATTTTCGGCCCAGGGCCCAAGTCGGATTCTCCAAGGCGCTTGAGGAGGTCAGAGTCGCAGCCCTGCTCGGCCACAAAGCCTTTGAAGGCCTTGGCCACAGATGAGGGTGTCGGGATTAGGGGGAGTAGGGTTTAGGGTTTAGGGTTTAGGATTTAGGGTTTAGATTTTAGGGTCCTAGGGTTTTGGGGGGCAAGGTCTAACAGGGGGGGGTAGAAGGGCCTTGCCCTCTCCGATCGAGTGTCAAGGCGCTAGGATTCTGGCGCGGTGGTCTTGGTTCGGGGCTGGCGGCAGAAAGGCCCCAAACCCTACCTAAACCCTACACCCTAAAGCCCTAAAAAGCCCAAACCCTCAGACCCCAAACCACTAGACCCTAAAAAAAGGCCACCTCAAGCACCTAAACCCCTGAAAGCCCCAAACAAAGCCCCAACCCTAAACCCTAAACCCTAAACCTCAAACCCTAAACCCTGAAACACGGCTGCCTCCGAGTCCGCCAGCACGGCGGCCAACTCCCCCAGCAAGTTGGTTCCTGCCCAAAGAGCCCAACATCGCGTCATTTAGGGTTGAGGTTTTAGGGTTTAGGGTTTAGGGTTGAGGTTTTTAAGGGTTTAGGGTACTCCTTGATCTACATAGGGATCCTCTGCTTGCTTAGTTTTTTTCTGTTGGGGATGCCCTACACCCTACACCCTACACCCTACACCCTAAAGCCTAAAGCCTAAAGCCTAAAGCCTAAAGCCTAAAGCCTAAAGCCTAAAGCCTAAAGCCTAAAGCCTAAAGCCTAAAGCCTAAAGCCTATGCCCGCTCCCCAGGCCTTGCCGCCAGGTCGACCTGAGATGGCGGTGGCTGCGATGCAGGGCGGCCATGCTGTGGGCGTAGCCGGCGGCGAGGTCCGAGAAGCCCTTCTTGCAGTCCTGGGCTTAGGGCTTAGGGTTTAGGATTCAAGGTGTAGGGTTTAGGGTTTAGGTTTTAGGGTTTAGGGCTTAGGGTTTAGGGTTTAGGGGCTAGGGTTTAGGGTTTAGGGTTGTAAGACGTTCCCTAAGGATCCATGTACCTACATAGCATATACTTGGGCCTTGAAGGGCTTCCTATATAGTAGCTTCAGGGCCCAACTATGGGCAAAATAGGTACGTGGGGCCGTAGACTTTAAAAGTCAAGGGACTACAGGAGGGACCCTTATAAGGGACCTTAGGGGCAATGTCGGGGCTACCTAGGTATATAGGGACTATGTAAGGTATATGTATATACATATGAGCTGTATATACATATATACATATATTTTTCTTCATTTATTTATCTGTATAACGGCTGGGATAAAGAACCTGTTGCTTCTCCGATAACCAAGTGAAAATAACGGTGAAACTTGAAATGTTCTGTTTAGGGAAACCCATAAAGTTTGCCCAACTAGTGGCTAGGTCAGGGCTGTTCTTTGGTGGCTTAGGGCTTTCAAGGTTTTAAGGTTGCTTTTTTCGGGGAGTTCGGGTTTAGGGTTTTCAGGATTTCTGGTGGACTTTCTTTCTTTCCTTTTGTTTTTTGTCCCTTGTTGTTTTTTTGGTTGTTCCTCTCTCTCTCTCTCTCTCTCTTCCTCTCTCCCTCCCCTCCCTTCTCCCATTAGACATCCGAAGCTCAAGGTAGCTGCGCAGCTCCACGAGAGAGCTCTGAAAGGTCTGCACTTCATCCTCGGCCACGTCCAGGTACCTTTCTTTCACTTTGCTTGCCGTCAAAAAGGCTAGGCTTTAGGATTTGATGCGGCTAAGGGTTTAGGGTTCAGGGTTTAGGACTTA